AAGTAGTTCTTCCATGAGATCCTTAATTTTGTATGAAGTGGTGACTAGAGAAGATACCATGCTAGGAAAATGAGAAACTCAACATAAAATGTTTTATGTAGATACATATATTGTTAAGCTAATATAATATAATTATCTCCATATTCAAATTAAGGAAATTATTTATTATCAATATTTCAATATAATCACCATTCTTACTTTCTTTTGTTTCTTTTGACACTATTTTGATGTATCAAACTACTCAAATAATTTGGTTTATTTGGAAAATCTTATCAAAGTTAGATATTTAATATTTGAAACATATATTAAAGATGTAATGCTTTCAAAGTTTTCCCAGATTATTCTTAAAGTTCTCTCAGTTCTTAAATTTTATTAATAAAATAGAAAATTCAAGAAACTATTATTCAATTTCCCAAAATGTTTACAAATGATTTCAATTCTATTATAGTCTAAAAAATATAACAAAAGATTTTATCAATATAAATTTTATGACATCGATTGTGCTACATGCACGTAACAAGAAACAGATCGAGAAATTTATATTGTTTTGAAGTTTTCAATTAGCTTGGACAAAACTTTTCTTCTATTTATTATTATATCAATATTGTCTCCAATAGTTTTAAGTCTGTGTGATAATGGAACTCATGTATATGACAGCACTTCCTAGATATAAATAGAAATAGTGTCTATATATAGATATACAAATCTTTGGGCGGTGTTCTATTTAGAATTGAAGAGTTCATGCTAATTATGGTGTCTCTCACTTTCCATTTTCTTTTACTCTTTTCAGTACTAATCTTCGTCTCATCACTTCCAGAATGCCCAAAATGCGGCAACATGGACGTCCCATATCCTCTTAGCACCGACAAAAACTGCGGAAATCCCATGTACAAAATCCACTGCAATAATGGCACCCTTCAATTCTCTTCCGCAGCTGATCAAGAATTTCTCTACGAAATCCTCAGCATAAACCCTAGTGAACATAAACTCGTAATCAGTCCACCCCTCATCCTAAAAAACACTTGTCAATCTCCTGATTTCAGTTTGGGAGGCTTCAAAATTGATGAAAACTCTCCTTTCAACATATCTTCACATAATACAGTGATGTTATTCAACTGTTCTGAAAATATACTTCTGTCTCCATTAAATTGCTCTTCAAAGAGTCAGTGTAGGCAGTTTGAGGAGAGGGTTGTACAGGGAAATGGCTGTAGAAATACACTGTGTTGTACGTTTTTGAAAGATTCGGCGATGACTTCGCATCGAATAAGGCTCAGAACTGGAGGCTGCACTGCTTATACTTCTGTTATCAATCTCAAACCTGGAGATATTGCTGTTGATGCATGGAACTATGGGATTCAACTTCAATGGTTGCCACCTCCGGTTCCGGCCAACGCCCTCTGATAAGTATAATCCACAATTTTTTTGGCTTTTTTGTCGATTGGAATGGTTGTTCAGCATCAAGCTAGCTCAACTGGTAACCTTGTGTTTTTCTGTTTGTGTTTATGTTTTATGTATGAATATTCAGTTGCGTGTGTTCTGTGTTATTTGTAATGCATGGAGAATAATTTTTACCTGCGGGTGAATTACAGTCCATGTGTGTGATCCTTTAAAATTTTAAATTGTTTACTGCGGTACGATTCTCCATCATACATTAAAATATTCTACACACAAATTAATAAAGTTTTTTTACTATTTAACACATTCTCCATCAATCTACTATTCTATAATACATTAAAAGAAATTAATGGTTGTCAAACAGTGCCTAAAATTTCTCATGCTTCGTTTAATTCGTTTCAGGTTGAAAATATGTACATAGATTATGAAGTATCGTTGGATCAACACGAGTTAAAGATTAAAATGATCCGTTTGACATTACTTCTACTTCTTGTAGGCCTTGTTTGTGAGAGATTTTGATTTTTCTACAGTAAATCAATTCTCATTTTCAACCACACATTCTTCAATAAAATAATATTTTCCATCATATTAATAATTTTTTCTTCTTTTTCAACCACACATTTCCCATCATATCACTATTCAAAATCAATTCTTCCCCCAAAAATCCCTCCCAAACAAGCTCTTATTACCCTTTACACTTAATCACATGTTACAACATNAAATGATCCGTTTGACATTACTTCTACTTCTTGTAGGCCTTGTTTGTGAGAGATTTTGATTTTTCTACAGTAAATCAATTCTCATTTTCAACCACACATTTTTCAATAAAATAATATTTTCCATCATATTAATAATTTTTTCTTCTTTTTCAACCACACATTTTCCATCATATCACTATTCAAAATCAATTCTTCCCCCAAAAATCCCTCCCAAACAAGCTCGTAGAAAAACTTCTAAAGAACTTAACTTAGAGCCGTTGGCATAGCTTTTGCTTCCATTTTTACTTCATGTAGAATATCTTTTGGAGAAAGTCTTCTTAATTTTTGTTTGAAAATTAATTTTTAAAAACACTTCTTATTCCGAAAGAGCTTCTAGAGAAAGCCACGTTGAACAAGCTTTCTCTAAAAGCCTTCTAACTACCAAAAGTTCTTTCGTAAAATTAGTCAAACGGGGTCCAAAAACAGCTTTTGGGTCTCAAACGCTCTTTTTGACCGTTCGAAAGCCATGCCAAACGGACCATAAGGCCTTCTCTAGAAGCTCTTTTATTCAGATAAAGTACTTTCAGAAAATTATTCAATTATATTCAAATGCAATTTCTTTATCTCAAAAGTAATTTTTGATTTTTCAAAAGCCTTGCCANAAGTAGTTCTTCCATGAGATCCTTAGTTTTGTATGAAGTGGTGACTAGAGAAGATACCATGCTAGGAAAATGAGAAACTCAACATAAAATGTTTTATGTAGATACATATATTGTTAAGCTAATATAAAATAATTATCTTCATATTCAAATTAAGGAAATTATTTATTATCAATATTTCAATATAATCACCATTCTTACTTTCTTTAGTTTCTTTTGACACTATTTTGATGTATCAAACTACTCAAATAATTTGGTTTATTTGGAAAATCTTATCAAAGTTAGATATTTAATATTTCAAACATATATTAAAGATATAATGCTTTCAAAGTAAACCCAGATTATTCTTAAAGTTCTCTCAGTTCTTAAATTTTATTAATAAAATAGAAAATTCAAGAAACTATTATTCAATTTCCCAAAATGTTTCCAAATGATTTCAATTCTATTATAGTCTAAAAAATATAACAAAAGATTTTATCAATATAAATTTTATGACATCGATTGTGCTACATGCACGTAACAAGAAACAGATCGAGAAATATATATTGTTTTGAAGGTTTCAATTAGCTTGGACAAAACTTTTCTTCTATTTATTATTATATCAATATTGTCTCCAATAGTTTTAAGTCTGTGTGATAATGGAACTCATGTATATGATAGCACTTCCTAGATATAAATAGAAATAGTGTCTATATATAGATATACAAATCTTTGGGTGGTGTTCTATTTAGAATTGAAGAGTTCATGCTAATTATGGTGTCTCTCACTCTCCATTTTCTTTTACTCTTTTCAGTACTAATCTTCGTCTCATCACTTCCAGAATGCCCAAAATGCGGCAACATGGACGTCCCATATCCTCTTAGCACTGACAAAAACTGCGGAAATCCCATGTACAAAATCCACTGCAATAATGGCACCCTACAATTCTCTTCCGCAGCTGATCAAGAATTTCTCTACAAAATCCTCAGCATAAACCCTAATGAACATAAACTCGTAATCAGTCCACCCCTCATCCAAAAAAACACTTGTCAATCTCCTGATCTCAGTTTGGGAGGCTTCAAAATTGATGAAAACTCTCCTTTCAACATATCTTCACATAATACAGTGATGTTATTCAACTGTTCTGAAAATATACTTCTGTCTCCATTAAATTGCTCTTCAAAGAGTCAGTGTAGACAGTTTGAGGAGAGGGTTGTACAGGGAAATGGGTGTAGAAATACACTGTGTTGTTCGTTTTTGAAAGATTCGGCGATGACTTCACATCGAATAAGGCTCAGAACTGGAGGCTGCACTGCTTATACTTCTGTTATCAATCTCAAACCTGGAGATATTGCTGTTGATGCATGGAACTATGGGATTCAACTTCAATGGTTGCCACCTCCGGTTCCGGCCAACGTCCTCTGATAAGTATAATCCACAATTTTTCTTGGCTTTTTTGTCGATTGGAACGGTTGTTCAGCATCAAGCTAGCTCAACTGGTAACCTTGTGTTTTTCTGTTTGTGTTTATGTTTTATGTATGAATATTCAGTTGCGTGTGTTCTGTGTTATTTGTAATGCATGGATAATAATTTTTACCTGCGGGTGAATTACAGTCCATGTGTGTCATCCTTCAAATTTTTAAATTGTTTACTGCAGTACCATTTTCCATCACACATTAAAATATTCTGCACACAAACTAATAAAGTTTTCTTACTATTTAACACATTCTCCATCAATCTACTATTCTATAATATATTAAAAGAAATTAATGGTTGTCAAACAGGACCTAAAATTTCTCGTGCTTTGTTTAATTCGTTTCGGGTTGAAAATATGTATATAGATTATTAAGTATCGTTGGATCAACACGACTTAAAGATTAAAATGATCCGTTTGACATTACTTCTACTTCTTGTAGAAAAACTTCCTAAAGAACTTAACTTAGAGCCGTTGGCATAGCTTTTGCTTCCATTTTTACTTCATGTAGAAGATCTTTTGGAGAAAGTCTTCTTAATTTTTGTTTGAAAATTAATTTTTAAAAACACTTCTTATACCGAAAGAGCTTCTATAGAAAGCCACGTTGAACAAGCTTTCTCTAAAAGTCTTCTAACTACCAAAAGTTCTTTCGTAAAATTAGTCAAATGGGGTCCAAAAACAGCTTTTGGGTCTCAAACGCTCCTTTTGACCGTTCGAAAGCCATGCCTAACGCGGCCATAAGGCCTTCCTCTAGAAGCTCTTTTATTCAGATAAAGCACTTTTAGAAAATTATTCAATTATATTCAAATGCAAGTTCTTTATCTCAGAAGTAATTTTTGATTTTTCAAAAGTCTTGC